TCAGCTCATCATAAGACCAACACAATACATACAATTTATTTAACTGCTAAACATATATAACATACACTAAAACCATACCAATTTACAAACACTACATTGATGAATTCGTTAAACGAAATATGTTTAATAATTGATACGTTCCTTGTATGTTTATGTTTGGAGTAGTTCTAGTGCACCCAGAGAACAAAAAAAGCAAAGGGATTGTTTTAATATCCGTTTCCCGTCCAAACATTTCAATTCGATCTGACACATGGAAAATTTGAAAGCATCAGAAATGATAACACACATGACGGTAGAGACTGCTATCATTGCCTCCACAGGAAGTGAGAAACAAGCCAGTAATAACACTTAATTTCGGCATACCAGCCAAACCACAAATGCATGAGACGTCTTGAACTTTCTAATTGTTAAATCTGCAGCTCAGAGGATGACGGTGATGAACCGACCACCGAAACTTTCACAGCCCACACTGAAAAAACTCCCACAGTTTCACTGACGGCACCAACAGCGCAGTCTTTCTGGTAACACACACAACAAATGGAGGGCTGCGCTGAACCATGACATAAATAAATTACACAAATCCACCAAAGGCCGCTGTGTATGCTGTTTCAGATCTAGAACTTCACTTACTGGTGCCTTTCGCACCTGCTGTTCTTGTGTAAATCCACCAGAGGCCGCTGACGGACTTGACTGATCGACTGGCCCACCCTCCCCCTGCCTTAAACCCAACCGACAGTGTTTTCAAAAGCAATCCAGAAAAAGAAAAGGCAAGTGCCTGATTTTGACCACGTTTTCAGATTTACCAAATTATCCCCCTGTTATTTACTTGTTTATTTTATTTTTTGATTTTTGTTTTTGTCTTACCTGTTTTCTCGAACTGTTTTTCACCGCACTCCAACTTCGTCATCATGGTCAACTCTTCCTCCTAAGTCCGCAGATGTACGCGGCAAGCCACTGGACAAACTGGTAACCGCAGGACAGTAGGTAAGCAGTCAGCTGGTAAGCAAAAGAAGGAATGGTTGTTGGTGCCAGAAGGGCTGGTCTGAGTATTTCAGAAACTGCTGATGTTACTGGGATTTTCACACACAACCATCTCTAGGGTTTACAGAGAATGGTCTGAAAAAGAGGAAATATCCAGTGAGCGGCAGTTCTGTGGGCGCAAATGCCTTGTTGATGCCAGAGGTCAGAGGAGAATGGCCAGACTGGTTCCAGCTGATAGAAAGGCAACAGTAACTCAAACAAGCACTCGTTACAACCGAGCTCTGCAGAAGAGCATCTCTGAACACACAACACGTCCAACCTTGAGGCGGATGGGCTACAGCAGCAGAAGAGCACACCGGGTGCCGCTCCTGTCAGCTAAGAACAGGAAACTGAGGCTACAATTCACACAGACTCACCAAAACTGGACAATAGAAGATTGGAGAAACGTTGCCTGCTCTGATGAGTCTCCATTTCTGCTGACACATTCGGATGGTCAAGTCAGAATTTGGTCTCAACAACATGAAAGCATGGATCCATCCTGCCGTGTATCAGCGGTTCAGGCTGGTGGTGGTGGTGTAATGGTGTGGGGGAGATTTTCTTAGGACGCTTTGGGCCCATTAGTACCAATTGAGCATCAACGCTACAGCCTACCTGAGTATTGTTGCTGACCATGTCCATCCCTTTATGACCACAGTGTCCTCATCTTCTGATGGCTGCTTCCAGCAGGATAACGCACCATGTCATACAGAGTGAATCATCTCAGACTGGTTTCTTGAACATGACAATGAGTTCACTGTACTCAAATGGCCTCCACAGTCACCAGATCTCAATCCAATAGAGCAGCTTTCAGATGTTGTGGAACGGGAGATTGACATCATGGATGTGCAGCCGACAAATCTGCAGCAACTGCGTGATGCTATCATGTCAACATGGAGCAAAATCTTTGAGGAATATTTCCAGTACCTTGTTGAATCTTCGCCACAAAGGAGTAAAGCAGTTCTGAAGGGAAAAAGGGGTCCAACCCGGTACCAGTAAGGTGTACCTAATAAAGTGGCCGGTATGTGTATTATATGAGACACTTGCTTTGTTTACCAAATAAAGTGGTTCTAATAGGATTCAGATTGTAAACAGTACATAAAAGTTTTTTTTTTTTTAAGTAGTATTTTTTATTTCATATGTTAAGTTGTTTCCCGTTGATGGGTTGCGGCTGGAAGGGCATCCGCTGCGTAAAAAACGTGCTGGATAAGTTGGCGGTTCATTCCGCTATGGCGACCCCGGATTAAAAGCCGAAAAGAAAATTAATGAATGAATTAGGTTTTAAGGTATTTTTATCGAAATTCTCTGCAGAAATAGCAAAAAAATGTGCAGAGATTCTGTCTGTCCATACTAATTACTAATAACTCTATCAGTTAAAGTTATTGGTAACACTTTACAACAAGGTTCATTAGTTAATGCATTTACTAACATTAACTAATCATGAACAACACCTGTACAGCATTTATTAATCATAATTGAACATTTACTAATGCATTATTAACATCCAAGTCCATGCTTGTTAACATTAGTTAATGCACCATGAGTTAACATAAACTAACAATGAACTACTGTATTTTCATTAACTAACGTTAACTAACACGAATAAATACAGTAGTACTGTAGATGTATTGTTCATTGTTTGTTCATCTTAGTAAATGCATTAATTAACATTAACTAATAAACCTTATTGTAAAGTATAACCAAGTTATTATATCTAAACATAGTTAACCTGCAGTTATAGTAATACATGTATTTTGTCAAACCCACTCACTTCTCACAAAGTGCCTGAAGACACAAAATGTACTACCAAATCTAAAATCACCCACAAGTAAGAGACAGTAAATACACTGTTTGTGTTTGAGTTCTGATAAGTGCGCTTCATGTCACTAAACAAAATGATTCATTGGATTTTATACATTTTTTTAAGGTTAGTGGTTGCAAACTATTTATATGGGCAGAATTTAAAAAAAACAAAATTAATTTAGTCATGTTCAACCTAATCTCTTTGTTTAAATTCAGCCCATATAAATTGTCTTCAATGGTTCAGAGACTGCAGATGTAAAAATCAGCTGCAACCACAGATCGCACACTGCATCTCTCACTGCAGGGGAACAATTTCTGTGGCCCCTTTTGTCTGCATTAGTGCTGCATTAACACAGGAAGTGTATCTGATGTCTAACGCACATGATTTGCGGGTACACTTTGCATCTGCAAGATAAAACCCTTCTTTTTCAAAAACAACATCTTTAAAAGGGACCTCTTGTGCAACTTTTTGCAAAATGTAAAATTAATCACAAATGTGCCTAGAGAGTGTGTGTGAAGTTTCAGCTCGAAATACCACACAAAAAATGTTTTATAACTCTCTGAAACTGACCCTTTTAGGCTTTGATCCTATTTGTGGTGTCGCTTTAAATTTAAATGAGATTGTGCTCTTTTCAAAAGAGGGCGGAGCTACAAATGCCTGTGTGTCAGCATAGTGGCAGATTCGAAAACCAGACGAACGTCCTATGCTAATGAGGGAGAGATGTCACTAGTGGGCGGGGCTTTCCCCCTCTGATGATATGTACAAAGGGAGAATGTCCATCAAAGTGTTTCTGCAGACTGTTTCTATCAAGTCTGATTATAAAAAACAGAATTAACTAATTCTTACCATTAGAGGTTATATTCACACTCTGCTGCAACACAACCGTATTTAAACCCCTTATAAATGTGATTTTTGCATTATACACAACCTGACAAAAGTATTGTAGTCAACCCCATTTGTAAGAGCAGCAGATAATAACTTGACAATCTAGTTGATCATTTGGAAAAGTGGCAGAAGGTGGATTTCTCTGCTGAATCATCTGTTGAACTGCATCCCAATCATCATAAATACTGCAGAAGACCTACTGGAACCAGCACAGACTCAAGTTTGGTGAAGAGGAAACATAAATGTAAAAATATAGGCTAGTCATTGACTTCCATAGTATTTTGCATTGCTACAGATGTCAATGGCTGACTTCCTCAGAACATCATATGTTGTGTTCAAGAGAAGAAAGAAATTCATAATTATGTTTTAACATAAAAATGTTTTCAACCACTTAATTATAATTAAAAGGTGAGGAATTATTAAGTTTTGGGTGAACTGGCCCTTTAACAACGAAAACCGTAAGAGGGCGCACACGCTCCTAAATACCTTTTACCCCTTAAGATTCTTGCTAAAGACTGAATATGCAAAGCAAGAAGTCGTTTTCGCTTGGTTAAGAGCCATGACTAGCTTTATTTGATGATTTCAAATGATAATAGCGTATTATTATGAGCTCACATTTTCATTTAAGGTACAATTAATGCTATTAGCAAACCATTTAGCACAATAAAAGATTAATTTGCTGCTTATAAGTGGTTATTTAAGTAGTAGTTGGGTTTAGGTGTTAGGTAGGGATGTAGATCGTAGTAATACGCATGTCATGTTGACATAAGTAGTTAATAGTAAGTACAAAAGTCCTATTAACGAACCACACAACTGAACAATCAGCTTAAACCGGTTAAAACTACCATAAAAACACGAATTCAACACTATTTTCAATTCCACACGGAAATGAAACAACTCTAGTCAGCTCAGCTCGCTTGTGGTGGTAAACACGGAACAGCATTTCCAATCTTTTTGAAACCTACTATGGAAAGTACACGTTACGTAATTAATATTCATGACTCATTGCATTCGCTACAGCACTAGTCATCCAATCAAAATGGAACATTCGCGCTGCGTCATGAATATTCATAAATTCCGTGTTCGACATAGTAGAACGCGCTTGCGGCTAAACCCTACGTCCTGTCAGAGATAGTAACTACGCAAGTGCGCACTGTAAAGGGAAGCTGCAGTGTTCCAGCCCCCTCCTCGCACCAATGTTTATCTGCTCTGTCAGCTTGTCTTCAATCTTGCGCAAACTCTGGACTTCGAGCCCGAATCTTCTTATCTTCAGCTTTCTTATCGCGTCGCGAGTCGCTCTTCTTTGACCAGCCCCTTTCGGACCTTGAGCCGACCAAAACTCGGTCCAGACTATTTTCTTTTCTTTTTTAAAGATCTCCCCTCCCCTTTTAAACAGTGAACCATGACATTAAATTCCAATAAAAACGAGCCGGCTGTCATTTTGGAGCGGGTGAACAGCGCGCGAACGGCTCTCTCAGACCTCTATCTGGAACAGCTGCTGCAGAATAAACCCAAGTCAGAAAAGGTAAGAGGATTTAAGACAACCCACAGATAATGTAACATTCACTTCACCATCAGTACATTACACTGTTACAGATGTTGACATCGTGAGTTTGTAATGATGTACAGATAGATGAAGATGGACGAGGCTGAATCCAGCTTCTTATTCGCAGCTTCTTATTGACGCTATGCGGTCCACCTTAAAAACCGCGACGCTTCCGTTTTTCAGCTTCTTATTCGCGCTCATCTCAGGGACCGTGTTTATTTATGTTCCTTTTTGAAAAATGAAAAATGCTAAATGAAACTGATATAAGATAGAAAACGGGCTGCAAACACGAAATCTAATTGCATCATTGATTAATTATTGACAGCGCCATCGTTTGAGTACAATATATTTCTGTTTTTTTTCCAGAAATAGTCCTTTATGAAGACTTCACATGACCCACCTATGAATAGACAGTGCCTGCCTCAGCAAGGATTTCAGATACAAAATAATTGTTTTATTAATTCAAGTTGTAAAAGTTAATGCATATGTTTTATCTGCAAATACTACAATTTGTATTAGATTTTAGTAGCTTTTTCTGACACCCACGCCTGTAAATACAATTCAACTTTTGTTAAACCTATTGTTTCAAAGAACAGACAATGCACTTTTTATACACCTTTTTATACACCTTATACAAATAAATGTGAATTGAACTGAATGAGCTATTGCATAATTGAATACTGTACCATGTTCTCTCTAATATTACACAACAGGTTAATAGTATACGTCTATACACGCGTCTGCATATGTATAAATATTTATAATTCTATCCCATTGAGAAGACAGACCTAAAAACGGTCAAAATACAGTCATTTCAATAAATGCCCAGTTGGAGGTGCTATATGCCAAGTTTTTTGCTTATTCATTTAATGTTTTATTTTTAACTTTTATGTATTTGTGTGCCTACTACATACTATGTATGTGTGTACTATAAACTATGTGTGTGTGTGTGTGTGTATGTGTTCACATTAAAAATGTTTAACACTAAAGATAATAAAAGTATGTTTGTGTTATAAATTTACACAAAATAAAGATGCCAATACATAATCATTTAATAATAATGATTTATTATTAATAATAATATTAATTATTATTATTATTAATTTTTATTATTAGTAGTAATAGTGAAATAAAAATATTTTACAATGCACTTATACATATTGTACTGAAATAAATGCCAATTAATCTATATACCTTATAAAAATTTATTAATATGTACCTATTTATAAATATGTGTGTAAAATATGTCTCTCTCTCTCTCTCTCTCTCTCTCTCTCTCTCTCTCTCTCTCTCTCTCTCTATATATATATATATATATATATATATATATATATATATATATATATATATATATATATATTCATACAGTACACAATACATTTTCCTGTGTCTGTGTTTATTTAAGTGTATGTATATGTATTCATTCATTTTCTTTTCGGCTTGTTCCCTTTATTAAACTTTGGTCGCCCCAGCGGAATGACCGCCAACTTCTCAAGGACATGGTTTATGCAGCGGATGCCCTTCCAGCTGCAACCCATCTCTGGGAAACATCCACAGTCGTACACTATGGACAATTTAGCCTTCCCAATTTAACTGTACTGCATGTCTTTGGACTGTGGGGGAAACCGAGCACCCAGAGGAAACCCACGTGAAAGCGGGGAGAACATGCAAAAATAGAAAGGCCAACTGACCAAGTCAAGGCTCGAACCAGCAACCTTCTTGCTGTGAGGCGACAGTGCTACCCACTGCGCCACCATGTCGGCCCTGTGTGTATGTATGTATATATATATATATATATATATATATATATATACAAATTAACTATATACCTATACAAATTTACATGAATTTTACAGTACTAATACTACTAATATTAATATAAATGATAAAAATAAAAATTATTAATAATATTATTATTAATTCTATTATTATTATTATTAAGCTTATTGTTGGTATTTTATTAAAAAAATTACAAGAAGCTTATACATATTGTACTTGTCTATCACAACACCAGAAATAAGATTATACACAAATTAAACACTAGCATTTTCAGGCTAGGTACCACTAGTTAATTTTGACACAGCAGAACAGTTTTGTTCCAATGCACTCTAGGCACAATTGGTGGCGCTATATCTCAGCTGTCTTTGAGGGTGCGTTGAAAATCTTACTTGGGTCTTGTAGACAATCTTCCCATCTATCAGCAAACCCAGATTCACACCACATTACTGTACCATTTTCTGGTTATTGACCCTTTAAACTTGCCATTAATCGCAATACAGCTATGTACCATTGCACTCTTGGCACAATTGGTGGCACTGTATCTCATCGGTTTTTGAGGGTGCGTTGAATATCTCACTGAGGTCTTGTAGACAATGTTCCAATCTATCAGCAAACCCAAATTCATAGCATATTACTATAATAATTTTAGGCTATTGACCTCTGAACTTGCCAAAAATCGTAATACAGCTAAGTACCATTGCACTCTTTGCACAATTGGTGGTGCTATATCTCAGCAGTCTTTGAGGGTGCGTTGAATATCTCACTGGGGTCTCATAGACAATGTTCCAATCTATCAGCAAACCTAGATTCATACCACATTACTGTACCAATTTTAGGTTATTGACCTCTAAACTTGCCAAAAATCGCAATACAGCAAGGCAAAAACAGCTATGTACCATTGCACTCTTTGCACAATTGGTGGCGCTATATCTCAGCAGTCTTTGAGGGTGCGTTGAATATCTCACTGGGATCTTGTAGACAATGTTCCAATCTATCAGCAAACCTAGATTCATACCACATTACTGTACCAATTTTAGGTTCTTGACCTCTAAACTTGCCAAAAATCGCAATACAGCAAGGCAAAAACAGCTATGTACCATTGCACTCTTTGCACAATTGGTGGCGCTATATCTCAGCAGTCTTTGAGGGTGCGTTGAATATCTCACTGGGATCTTGTAGACAATGTTCCATTCTATCAGCAAACCCAGATTCATATCACATTACTGTACCAATTTTAGGTTATTGACTTCTGAACTTGCAAAAAAAATCGCAATACAGCCAAGTACCATTGCACTCTTGACACATTTGGTGGCGCTATATCTCAGCAGTCTTTGAGGGTGCGTTGAATATCTCACTGGGATCTTGTAGACAATGTTCCAATCTATCAGCAAACCTAGATTCATACCACATTACTGTACCAATTTTAGGTTCTTGACCTCTAAACTTGCCAAAAATCGCAATACAGCAAGGCAAAAACAGCTATGTACCATTGCACTCTTTGCACAATTGGTGACGCTATATCTCAGCAGTCTTTGAGGGTGTGTTGAATATCTCACTGGCATCTTGTAGACAATGTTCCAATCTATCAGCAAACCCAGATTCATACCACATTACTGTACCAATTTTAGGTTATTGGTCTCTATACTTGCCATAAATAGCAATGCAGCAAGGCAAAAACTATGTCCTATTGCACTCTTGGCACAATTGGTGGCGCTATATCTCAGCAGTCTTTGAGGGTGCGTTGAATATCTCACTGGAATCTTGTAGACAATGTTCCAATCTATCAGCAAACCCAGATTAATACCACATTACTGTACATTTTTCTGGTTTTTGACCTCTGAACTTGCAAAAAATCGCAATACAGCAAGGCAAAAACAGCTATGTACCATTGCACTCTTTGCACAATTGGTGGCGCTATATCTCAGCAGTCTTTGAGGGTGCGTTGAATATCTCACTGGGATCTTGTAGACAATGTTCCAATCTATCAGCAAACCCAGATTCATATCACATTACTGTACCAATTTTAGGTTATTGACTTCTGAACTTGCAAAAAAATCGCTTACAGCGAAGTACCATTGCACTCTTGACACAATTGGTGGCGCTATACCTTAGCATTCTTTGAGGGTGCGTTGAATATCTCATTGAGGTCTTGTAGACAATGTTCCAATCTATCAGCAAACCCAGATTCATACCACATTACTGTACATTTTTCTGGTTATTGATCTCTAAACTTGCAAAAAATCGCAATACAGCTAAGTACCATTGCACTCTTGACACAATTGGTGGCACTGTATCTCATCGGTTTTTGAGGGTGCGTTGAATATCTCACTGAGGTCTTGTAGACAATGTTCCAATCTATGAGCAAACCCAGATTCATACCACATTACTGTACCAATTTTAGGTTATTGATCTCTAAACTTGCCATAAATCGCAATACAGCAATGCACAAACAGCTGTACCATTGCACTCAACCAAAGCTCATTCAAAAAATCTCGCGGACGTTTATGGAGAACGCGATTTATCTAGCCGGAGGTACGTATGGCTGCATTTCATTTTTTTAAGCATACGCTACGGGGCGGTGTGACGCCGTTCGTCTTCATGCTCACCGGCAGCTCGTCATGTACGTCTGCAAAGTTGAGACGCAGACAGGAGCTGACCTCAACAACGGCGGCAACCCGACAATCCGGTTCTAGTCCGGAGAACAGCGGTTTCAGAAATCAGGTAAGACAATAACAGAATCCAAAAAATAAAGTGAACGAGTTCATAACAGGGTGAGAATGTGGTGAAAAGGTAGACAAAAATCTGCTAAGAAAAAGTAGACAAAATCAGACAAGGGCTTTTCTTTTTCTGGACAGCTTTTGTAAAACGTTGCTCGGGTTTAGGGAAGCAAACGGGCGGACGGGCGGGTCAATCTGTAAAAGCAGTTGGGTTTAGGAAAGGAAGAGGAGGGTGGGTCAGCCGATTGGCCAGTCACCCAGTCAATCATTCAGTCAGTCAGTCAGTCAGACAGATGGTCACTCGACAGTGGCCTCCAGTGGCTTTACGCGAGAACAAAAACTGCGCAAATATGTGCCTCCCAGAACGTATTTCGCGGTCTCCAGAAACTTCCACGGGACTACGTTTTCAGAATGAGTCTGGGTTGAGTACAACAGTACATAGCTGTTTTTGCATTGCTATATTGCGATTTATGGCAAGTTCAG